TGAATTTCATCTTTCTTCAGATAATACTGATTCCTGATTTTTGTGGTAGTCTGTTGCTCCATCGCTCAGGTGTTTGCTTTGGGAGATGTGCTTGCTCCATCTGCTTTAGACATCTAAGGCGCGATCCCTATGGGATTCGGGAGGTCCTCCTTCGACAGCTTAGATCTAGGCTAGATGTCTCTCTGAAGATAAGGGATCGGGCTGGACAACTCGAGACATAGCCAGGGGCTCATCCGCAGGCTATTTACACCTAAATGGATGAGACAGACAGTGAGGACGAAGCCTGAGCAGCAGCAGGATGGGAGCCAGGACCAGTGCCTGGAGCTGCTGTTTTGGGCTGTCCCCAGAGGAGGTGACCAAGGCAGGAGACCAGCCGAGGTGCTCACAGCAGCCACCCGCAGCCTCTCCGCCACCTCAGGGAAGGACTACCTAGCCAATCAAACACCTTGCTGCTTTCGTGCTTTAAAACGCTTGCTCATATAAATTCCACTGATATTTTCCCCTTACTTCGCTTCAACCTCCCCCCCTGTTCTTCCCATCACCCTGAAAAGCCCCAAGCCCATGACGCTTTTTTCTATTTATTTGAAGGATGAAGAGTGCACATCTTTAGCATTGCTAAACCACTATTACTTAGAGTTATTGTGAAGAGATTAAGCACCTTTCTGAAATTTATGATCTAATTTGAATTGTTCCACTGCAACCAAAACCCTCAGGGGACCCAATACAAAAATCACAGGGACATCACTTGTCGTCTGTCTCATTATCATTATCAGGATCCTTGTAACAGGTCCATCATTTCTGAAGCAAATGCTAGCTCCAGTTGCATTTCTTGTCACTGTCAGATCCATTCTTTACCTGCTTTAAAATATATATATATATATACACACACACACATATATCACGCAGCATTAGCGAAAGTGTGTTGAGCTGGCAAGTTACCAATAGACCAACCTCAGAGCCTTGTTCAGTAGCATATCGGCTGTCACCTCATTATTTATAGCCGCCCTGCTCTTTGAGCTTGTTTATTTTCCTTCCCTAAGGTGGTGGCGGGAGGGGAAGCTCTGACATTCAGGCCCAGGTGTCTCTGGCTCTGACCTTTCCTTCAAAGAGCAGAAACTGCAGACACATTTCAAGGAAGAAATTCATTTGGAAACTTCAGACCCTTGTGTCCACCACCTCACTGGAGGCCCAGTGCAGAGCTGCAAGCAAGGGTTGAGCAGATCTGTTAATTAGCCAGCTCATGTACATAAGGATGGTCATAAAAATGAGCCTATAATTATTTTATACCTGGAAAGCGAACCAGATGAAGTCTAGCCCCCAGTCTTGAGGCAGAACAAGTGCTACATAAAGGCACAACATTCAAAACAGACTTGAGTTTTCCATCAGCTAAGTTTTCCCCAAGTTTAAATAACGCTGGTTTATGGCCTGCAGGAAATAGGCATTGCAATGGTCGTGGGCCAGGTTTTTCAATCCCAACTTGCATACACCCATGTAGAATCATCTGTTAAAGAGTGTTGGAAGAAAAGCAGCCCTGAAGCCTGCTACAGAAAGACAAGCAGCCCGTTTCAGTATTACTGTAGCCCCCAAAGATTCATTTCAGAGTGGATGCTGTACAAAAGGATGTTCCCCTTCCGCATAATCTAAACATACAGGACAGGGAAAAAAGAAATGGGAGACAAGCAGCACCTTGAGCTGTGTCTCAGGGTCACTTGAGAGAGCACTGTTCAAGCCCCTCTCTTTGGGCACCGTTGACCTGCTGAGGGGATGGTAATTTGGGATAGCATGGCAGCACAGGCAGCCAAGAGATACAGGGACCGGGAAAGCATTGCTGTTCTCCACCAGTCCTGCAGCAAGACACTCTCAATGCCTCAGTTTGTCCTTGCTGCACTTAAAGTGCAACAGTCCCAGGAGAAGATAAAGCTAAGGTCTTATAACAAGTCGCAGAGATGCAAAAAAAATAGAGAGTTTGATATTGTGAAAAATGAGTGTAAGAAAGACAGGGAGCAGTCAGCTACTGCATAAGACCAGACCAGTAACTGCTATGGAGAGGCACAGCCTGCTCTCCTTTACCCAGATGAGCAGAACGAGTCCCCGGGAGCACTCTTCACATCCCTAGGAGAGCAGAGGTCCCAGCGGCATGCAGAGACACACAGGAGAGCTGGAAGCAGGCTGGCTTTGCAAAGGTTGCAGCATAACTTCACCGCCGTGCACCGTGGTTTCTCCACAGCAAATTCACCTGCAGGAGCTTTTCATTTTAGCAAAGAGATGAGTTGAAGCACTTCACAGATGCCACATTTTCATCTGAAGTGAGCAACAAAACCAGCCACAATGCCCTGTGCTTGCTGCTGAGGGGAGAAATGAGCCTTCATTCCCTCTTGGCATTGCCCAAGACACACACCCAGAGCACCTGGGCTGCAGCATTCCTTTTTTTGCTGGGTCTTTCACCATTCTGGTAACCCCGCTGCCACTCCCCCCCACCATATGCACACCAAATTACTTTGGGAGCAGAAAAAAATTGTAAAGTTAATTTAATTGTGGAAAAATTTCCCTTGGCAGATATAGGTACCTCATAAAAAGCTACACACATCTGCTCCAAG